AACAGCCTTGAAAATGCAGTGCTGAGGGGGATGGTACAAAGCGAAAGGAGCGGCATCTCACCTGCCTTTGGAAAGGCTGTGGTGTGAAGGCAGATGTCACGAGGAAGCAGCGTTCAGGGGACAGTGCTAGCACCCTCAGCATATATGCACAGATCCTGTGGGTCTCTCCAGACAATCAGGTTGTGTGTGGCTGTGGATCATGGTAATGACTGGCAATGCTGGTGTTGAATAGTTTGCCAAAACATTTCACCAGGGGGAGCAAAAAGATCAAGTGTGGTTTTCTTCATTTTGCTTAGTATAGCTGCCTCCTGCACAGTCAGTTGCAACATAGTTGACGTTTGATTTTCCCATTCCTGAAGAGTTTCCTTTCTCTTCTCCTTGACTGTCCTAAAGCCAGGAGTAAACCTCCTCTGTTGAGCAAAATCCTGCTCTTGCCTTTAGCTTCGGTATCAGTTAGGGTTTTGTATTGACAGATAGCAGCAAATCTTTCCTATTCTGCTACGTTTTGTACAAGTAACTAGGTCCAAGTAGGTCATTCCCAGCTCCGTTCTGAGGCACTGAGTCAGTACAGCATCCCTCAGAAACTGGAAGGATTTGTTGTTATTTTTTAGTGAGGATGTTAGATTATGCCTGTAATTGAGGTGGACGATGCCTCCCTGCAGATTTCTATGCTGCAGTTCACTGAACTCATTTTGCAGGATACTGTATAGAATATATTTGATGTGTATAGATGTTTTTGGCATTAGTAAGTAAGAATTAAACAATTCTATTTTAGCTTTTACACTTTTAGTATGCTACACAAAAATGTACAGAATACTTTTAAAAGAAAACTGTTTGAAACTATTATTTGCAGAGTGTCCGCGTATGCCTCTGTATACAAATTAATTACAGCTCAGTATGTGTGACCTCCTCTCCAAGCCAAAAAGAAAGCTTCCTGAGAAATACTGGAGGTTCACAGCCTGCAATTCCAGCAGAGTCATAAAAATACCAGGAAATTCTTTGGTAAGTTTTCCCCTAACAGTTGCCAAGCACATTGACATTTTTCCTACTATACGCACTGCTGTTCTCTCCACTTCCATGGGGAATGTACAATCTTTAGTTCGGTTCGTGTCTGTGCCCTGACCAGAAAGGAAGATGCTTTTGAACTGCGTGCTGATGAATGGTTAGGGTGCTGTGCCTGGCGGTTATTGTGTCAGCCGCTGACTTCTGTGCCTGTTCAGCCTACTTTGCATGGCTAATGGAGGCACTCTGTTACTTAAATAGGGGTAGTTTTAATAGCAGGTTATTGTATTTGGAAATTGTAATGTCTGTAAACCTAACTGATGAGGGAACATGGTGTTCAGTTCCTCAGTGACTGTCTGTAAAATAATTCTGCTTGAATAAAACAGGAGTAGAAGCTTTATATAGTTCACTTTTTCATAAAGTTTTATAGAAAGTAGAATCCTCCTGCAGGGAGGGATCACTGACAAATTTGAAGTCTGTTCAATACCAGAAGTGTGACGTATAAGGATTATAGCCCTTTAAAATTGAACTCAACCTTAAGCATGCAAGCTTATAGCCTCTAATACTTGCTCACCGTCATAACAGCATCTCATAAATTGGATTTATCGTGTTCCCTTAACCTCAGTGCACTCTCAATTTATTCATTAGCTCACTCCCACCATTCTGAGCGCTTGAATAGCTATACCAATGAAAAGTGTCATCTTGTTCTCTAATCTAAATGAAATTGAATTAATTTTCCTTTCCTCGCCACTATATGTTTCTCACAAGACTCCTTTCCCTCTGCTGTTATTAAATCTTCAACAAGAATCAAGCTGAAACTATTACATAGACCTGCAGATCTAAAATGAACAGCATTAATGCTTGATAATGGTCCGCTCCTTGCCTTCCGGAAAGGTATGAAACACTTACATCTTGTCATGAAAAGAAATATGTTACGTTGGGGCTAAGAACCTATGAAACTGGGGTTTTTTAATAAGTATCATGACAATTTCAGCTGATTTTAAATAGCAGTTAACTTTGAGAGATACAATTTTACTTCTTAGCAGAATTTGTGCAGGTGAAGTCATGACATTTAAGACCACCTCCCTTTTAACAAAATGCCATGAAATCATTCATGAATAACGCATAAATTCAAGCCAATGAAATCTTTATGCCATGCCAGTCTCTTATTTGCAGGAAATAAAATTAGAGCACAATGTGCAGTAAACTATAACCAGAGGAGTCCCACTGTCATGCAGACATCATCACAGGCGTAAAGTGGGAGAGTACTGAGCACAGTATGTATGTGCAGTTCCAGAAGGTTCACGAGAACCTCTGCAGCAGAAGGGCCTGACGGCACAGCGCGTTCCTGGCGGCAAGCAGTGGGGAGAATTACAGGGGGCAGCATATGGGGAAAGACAGAAATCGGCCATCTGGAAGCAGGGAGTTGCACAGGCCAAAGATGCAGTAATAACATAATCATCATCACTCTTTTCTTTCTCTTTTTCAGCCAAACTGGGCATTTTAGGGAATTTAGACTGAAGTCTAAAATTTACGGTGAAAGACTGATCATGTACAACAGCCACAAAACAGTGAATGATACAGTATTTGCATTTTGCTTTTTAAATAAATGGAGTGAAAGAGATCAAATTTTGTGCCAGCTGCACTTCAATTACATTTACTTTGCCTAGCAGTTGCCACGTCAGATACCTTTCTCTAAAAGTATTTGTTTTACAAGTTTGTTTGTAGTCCATCATAACTATTGTTCAAATTCATAATCAAAAGAAAGATAGACATTACTGTTCTTGTAAAGTAAAAAGACATGTCATGACATGTCAAGTTCAACTTCCCTGATTTTGCATCAAGACTGTGAAGACCTGGTCTATTGCCTCAGTCCTGGTCTTTATTAACATTAGGGGCAAATTTATCTCTCTGTGTGGAGCTTCCAAATGAGGTTAGAAAAATCACCCCGTGGCAGGTACATCCCAGCAGGTAACTGGTTCAGCTCTCTCAATGGCTGGTGAGATGCAGGGCTCTGCAGACACTTGTAGCTATCTGTCCCCGCAGACTTTCGGTAAGTATTTTGAACCAGTTAGTAAATTCTTTGAGATTTTCTACAGAAAATTCCGTGGCCATGAAAGACGGTATTACCTTGACAGATTTTGAAATGCAAGGAAACAGTCATTCGTCTTGCTTGTGATCTTCATTTTATTATTATCTTGTGGAAATTACTAAAACGTCCTTTCTACAAAGGAACCGTGACTGAGTGCTGCTATTGCAGGCCCGTACTACAAATGAGTTCCATTCCCCTTTAGACATAAGCAAAACACCACCCATTTGTTCCATAGCCACATTTGTAGATCATTTAGCAGCAATCTCATCTAACAGCAAGCAGGGAGAAAAAATTAATTACATAATCAAACCGTGCTAGAGACGGAGTCAAGAGGTTAAAGCTTACACTGTTGTTCTCCTTTTAGAGCTCTGTGGGAGAAACAAAACCAAATTTGCTGTATTACTTACTCTTATCAGGGTTTGTCCGAGTAGAGCAATGGAAGCGAGAACAGGATTGATGTATCTAGTTTACTTCTCAGACTTCGGAGGAAATCAAACTATTTGAATGCAAAAGTATCCTGATAAAAGCTGGAAGCACATAGAGACTTGTATATAAAACCAGCCTGCTACAACAATCTGTGGATTTTAAAGCCTGAAAAAAAAAAAAAAAATCTAAGGATGGGCTTTTACATTTCTTACAGTAATTTCTTCACCAAACCCAAAAACTGGGGCTCTGTGTTCAATATACCGCATCTGTAAGTGAGGGCTGAGTGTAAGACACTTAGTAACATTATGGATTGTCCTCTATTATAAATGTTACATCCTAATATGATGTTTTGCGCTTTGCTTATCCATTAAGGTAAGACCATCGTGAAGCATTTAGAGATTGTACTATGGTTCTACTGCACGCTTTGTGAAAGTGGGCATTTAAAATACAGTATCGTATCCTAATCTGCCGTCTTTCGCTGCAAGGCAAGAGGTTTAGGTACCTAGAAATGCAGGAGGAACAGTCTACCGTAGTTCCACTGCTGCTGTGAGAGCCATTATGTGAGAACTGCCTTCCGCCTTGCTTTCTGTTTCAGCACTGTGGTGCCCAGCTTTGGCAACGGCCGACTGCTCTGGGGCTTCCTGCCTGCCTAACAACGGGTCAGGTGGAACACTGCTAAGGAACAGCTGAAATCTGCCTCAGTACAATTGTCTAAAATTGTATCATGGATCAAATTTTCATTTTTCAACTGACAGATAGAGTCTTTCATTAGAGAATAAAGCACTTCAGAAGAATTAATTAGAAGTCGAGCAGTTAGACCAGTAGCAGTTATTTACCTGCATCTGAAATTAAGCCTCAGCAAAGTTCTGACTTGCCCAAATAATCATTCTGAACAGGTAACAAGTCAAGAATACAGCTCAGCTCTGCTTTCTTGGTTCTGTCACTTAAGCAGTTCCTCCCATGAAAATTCCAGCTACAAAAAGTAGCAACTAAGTGCAAGTTCACTTGTAAGAAGCAAGTTTGTCTTTTCTTACAAGAGCTCACAAATGATCAACACAGGGGCCTGAAATAAAGGGACAATGTCAGCAACTGACCTGCTCAATAGTTTTGCTTATTTGCCCTGGGACTGCAGCACTCCACCTAGGACGCTCTATACGACTTCCCAGCTGCGCAGGGTCTGTCTGAGCCAGGCTGTTCTGCGTGAGGCTACCAACCCACCCACCCACGCACCACACAGCCCAGACCCGCACCCAGAGTTAACTTCACATCACGATGCTGCCTGCCCTCAGTTGTATGCTTAGGTATACTCGCAATGGATGACCTTAGTGTATTTTTCCCCCCACTTAAGTGCACTTAAATTTGTTCCTGAAAAGCAGAATAAAACATGGTGTCTCTCAGCAGAACAGAATCGACAGAATGATGCACTTTGTCACTTGGAAATAGTGACAGTTTTATAATTGCATGTTCATACAAAAAAGGCTTACTTGTAGGAAGTAATTTTATTGTTGAAATAACTTATTTACAAAGATAGTTACTTTACAGCTTTACAAAGCAGACATAATTCTTCTCAGAATAAAGTATGAAAACAGCGACAGATTTAACACTGTCTAAATGCAGTTTATTCCAAAAAGAAATCTACAGCAATCATTAGACTAAATCATACCAATCACATAATAAAATGCTGTCCCTTGCAACTACTACAGTATAAAAAGACTTTTTGTCGGTCATGATCTAGTGGATTAAGCATCTGCTACACTTCTTTCTTCTTGAGTATTAGTGGACCTACATTATCCCCTGTTAATTCATTGTGCTTGTTGTGGGAGCCATCACAGACAGGGAACTAGAAGAAAGCATACACGAGGAATTAGTATAACTACAGTAACTGCATGGTGATTTTTCTACTTCTTCCTATGCCAAGAGTACTTTGGTAATGTCGCTAGTTCCACCTACTGTGTCCCATTTCAGCATGAAACTCCCCATCTCCTATCAGACACAGGACACATGTTACTACTGGAAAAAAAACACTGCTAACAGGTAACTAAGTTTGTGAGGTCCTACAATAGCTGTTCTTAGACACAAAGTTAGGGACAAAGCCTTTCCCATGAAAGAAGACCAAGCAAAGCAGTCATCACAACGAGTGGTTTAAGGTCTATTGCGGAACTAGTGAAAGTGCTCTTAATAGATTTAATAATTTACAGCCACAAAGTACTGTTTAAGAAAAGATGAAATACTTTCCTGAAGTGATTATTCTGAAGGGAGAATCATTGAGAGGGTGAGGTCCAGGGCAGATTTTTTTGTTAAAACAGGAAAGCATTCGGTCCAGCAAGGACAAACCAGAGTGCACTTGGGACATTCAAAAGAAATTGAGGGTAAACAAAAAACACTCATGTACATCTAATTGATTTGGGGGATACGCACTACCCAAACCAGTCATCTACTGGCTGCTTTGCACCAGATGGGGATACGCTCTCCCTCACCAACACAGGTGCGGCCTTACTTTCATTCTAATACGAACCATCTTCTAAGCATTTTTGTAAAATAGTTATCTTCTAGTTAGTTGCAATATATTTCCAAATATTAAACAAGGCTTGCTTGGTTTTAATCTACTCACAGGTAGTCACTCTCTAAGTGTTTCTAGAAAAACCCTACCATGTTTCTTACAAGTTTCTACAGTTTCTTTCTGCATTTAGATAAGTTTACAGTAGAGAAAAATAAGAACTGTGCCACTCTCAAAAATCAAGAACATGTTCCAACTTCAGAAAAAAGCAACAGGTCAACATGTAGCAATTCACCACCAAAGCACTGATAAAAATATGCAAGTTTCAACCTCTAATCCTACAGTAGCACAAAGCATCTTACCGTCTTGGAACGCCAACATCTGCAGTAAGCTTTAGTGAGGCACAGATCTTCAATGTTTATTTCATTCACTACTTTTGGATTTTCCTTCTGGATCTTGAGGTTAATCAAGCTATCCTTTTGCTGTTTCTTCTTGGGGAGGAACGGACGAACAGCGAGGTAACCGAGCAAGGCCAGCACGCCCAGGAAAGGCAATAACCGCAGCCATTCTGAAACTGAAGACAGGTGGAATTTAGATTGGCTCCTGACACCACTTCAGTATGGTGCAGCATCAGCCACTCTCAAATGACTTAGGGTAGGGATCGGGGTTGCTCAGTCAGCAAGGCTCTGAGGGCAAACAAGACTCTGTGAGTAAGTCTTAAGAAGAAAGATGACCCAGATTAAAACCTGGGTTTTACTGTAGCCAAGGTAAAAGTTTGACTCCTAGAATTTCATCTGAAGTTTCATGTCAACACTCCAGAAGACGAATCAATGGAAGAGAATAAATCCAAAAAGAAAGGCGTACTGAAGCAAGGAACCCTAAAATTACAGGGTTTCTGCTCACTGGAGGTACACCAGCACTGCGTACTAGCAAACTGGGCGTGATTACATGCGGTAAGTATATTCAATGCCAGTATCTTAACATTCTGTATATGAAGAACCATTCAGTAAGTTTTATAATTCAGTTTTTAATTGCTTATTTCATTATTTTTAGCTTCTTGAAGTTTTCCTCCTTTTATTTGTTTTTATTTATTTTTCAGAGCTCTGTTTGCTCAGGGATCTGCAACACAGAAGAAGTCCTGAGATCAGGTAAGTCAAGCCACAGAAAATTGGTTTTTACCAGGCTGAGGAACTTCTTTTCAGTACAGGTAGGAGATTCAAGTATCCTCTGCAGACTTAGCTGCCTTGCTACATCATTATAAATCTACACGTACTGGTGAGAGAAAGACTTACTGGGCTTTTTAAGAAATTCATCAACATCTGGCATAAGTTCTATATATGTTGAAGGTGGATCCACTTTTCCAGCAAAACAAGCTGTGACGATGCTCCAGTGTAATTTAAGTACCATGGTGCAATAAAGGAGAGAACATTTTTCTACATTTCTGGACAATACATTAAATCTAAATGCTCACCAAGAAGTGGAAGAGAGTTTAAAAATATTTCAAAATGAGAAGCAAAGAAGTGTAATGAGCTGGAGTACAAAAAGCTGCACAAGCACTTTGTGAGACAAGACACTGTAATCAAGTTCCTTTGTTAAATGATTTAGGATCAGAACACAGCAAAATGTTGTTCTACAGTTTGTTTTTTGAGATTCAGATGTACAAGAAAAGAAATGCAATAGACCAGGGTAAGGATGCTAGGTAGGTTGTAGCTCCCAGATATTACATTATTCTGTGTAGCTTGATTTTACTTGTAATAATAGAGCACATGTTCATGCTAATACTTTTCTAGTTAGCACACAGTGGCTGCTTCTTAATAATTTGAATTTTCTGAAAGTACACCATGTAATGAAAATACTTTGTGGGACTAATTTTATGTTCTTTGAGCTTTCTATAGCCTTTGACATGAAAACCACACTTACTGCATTTATCTGGGAATGCACCACAACTGTACAAATCCTAAAGGCACTGCAAGAACTTTCAGTAGCCTTTCCATACCTGCACTTGCAATGGTCCCTCTGCACAGCAATTGACAAAATTTGCTAAGAGTCACTGCAATAGACTAGTCTCTGTTGCTCTTTTCTCAGTTCCCCTAACAAGCTGTAGGGCCTAAAGAATAACAATTAACACTGAGATACTTAAACACTTTCAGTTACAGAAAATACCGAGTTTCCTGGACAGCAGTACCTGTTTGTCCTTTCTGTCGTTGCTGTTCCAGAACACTCCGTGAATAGGAATCCAAATGCACTTTCTGACCTTACCTGAAAGACTGACTTGGAACATACTTTAGAAGAGAGGAAAAATATTTGGTCACTGAAAAAGATTTCCAAATTGAGTATCTAACCTGACTGTTGGTAAAGAGGTAGATCTCTGCAAAGCTACTCTGAACTCTATGACAAAGCATATTTTCCAACAGGTGCCATAACCAGCAGCAGGGCACCTATCGTGGGTGAGGAATGCAATCTGGCTAAGATTGACACACAAAAAGGAAATGTCTCACATGAGAATTAAATGCCATTCAAAGAGACTGGCAACTAAACAGCAAGTGGCATCTCAATACAGCTTCAAACTCCCTGATACAACATCAAAATCGGAACAGCAGTCATGTCTATGGGAGATGCACAACCAGTTGGGTTCATCCAAATGAAACAGGAACATGACAGCTGTAACCTTTGAGAAAGGAAATCAGAAACAAACAGGAACAGGAAGTACAAAGATATTATTTATCATGGTTGTTATCTAATATTTGTACCATGCTAACTGCTGATAAATAGTTTTGTCCTCACTAGCCAATTATTTCTTTACATATATCTAATCTGGGAGTCTCTGGAAAGCCCCCAATTACACCAATGCATACACTAATCATAAACTGACTTGTTATTGCCAAAAGACTGCCAGAAGCTCATACTTTTAGACTGAAAAATCAACATGACCATGCTTCTAGGGCCTGAGAGACAAGATACTGTCACAAAGTAAAAGTCACAGATATTTGGACTGAGTGGGCAGGGATGGGAGAAAAGCTTCACCCAAACTAATCCTACAACTGCAAGCTGCTCTGTGTTTCTGAAGCCATTCAGACCTTTCTGAAGCTGATGTAAGGCAATTCACAAGACTGTTTTCAGAGCAATTAACTCAGAATTCAGCAATTACATGGATTCTGAAGATTCTTTATCAGTTCTGCTGCATGGGAAGAGGCAGTCTTTGGAGCCAGAAATGGAGAGCAGAGTTATCAGAGAGGTTAGTCTTCGAACTTGACTTGTGTTAGTCAGACACCAATCCCAAAGAGAAGTCCTAAAAAGTATCAGCAACATCACTGAAACGGGAATGCCCAAAGAATTCCAAGCAGCTGAGGCCACAGACCATAGGCCACAGCTACATTTTCGAGGAGAGGTTGTCTGAACTTTTAATCCAACAGTAACAAGTCCAAAAAAACCCCAAACATAGACACTGTGAACAGAAATGGACTGGCCAGCCACCTAGGGTCAAATCAAAGCAAGTGGTCCCTGCTTGTCCTTCACCCACTAATCCTTTGATACCTTTCACTCTGATTTATGTTTTAGCTAATTTCTGTGGAAATGAACCTGTGCAGACACAAAAGCAGCTTCCTACAGTAACAGCTCAACTGCAAGCCAAAATTTTAACAAGTATTAGCTACCAGTCGAAGTCAGGATTGGAACTGTGATTGTACATTCTCTAAACTGATGAAATTCTTCATGCAAATTCAAATTACTCAAGTGTCCTGGGTTTGGCCAGGACAGGATTAATTTTCACCAGAATACAGGAAGGGGCACAGCCAGGCGGGCTGACCCAACCCCACCTGGCCAAACAGAGCCGGGTATTCCATACCATGTGCCGTCACGCTGGGTTCCCGTGGGGGGAGCGGCACGGCAGGAACTCACTCGCAGCTCGGGAGGGCACAGCGGCAGTGCAGTCCGGGAGAACGTTGTGCGGTTTGTGTCGTGTTTTCCCCTTATCCGTATCGTTGTTGTTCCTGGTCCCTTTGTTTGCTGTTCTGTTAAACTGCCCTTATCCCGACCCACCAGTTTCTGCCTTTTTCTTCCCATTCTCCTCCCCCCCCCGGCCGGGGGCGT